CTAGCTTATGACTTTTCCTTTGGAACTGATTTATCTTGATACTTGGCCATCGCATAAAACCCCACGTACCTGTATAATTGACATTTTTGGAAGCTAGAAATGGTTTGGTTAACTTTTTAAAAAATGTTCATGCCTCTCTATACTTCCTGATTTCATCCAGAATTAGAAGCAAAAATATCAAAACACCAAAAGAAAGAAAAAAAAAAAAACCACTCTCATGAGCCTTTTACTGCATCTAAAACCAAGAACAGGAAATCTCATGAGAAAGTCTGTTCTTAGATTTACAGACTAATTTCTTGGTCAAACAGGACTAGATATGTTCAGCTGCTGAGCTTTGGGATGCTTTTCCAAACTAAATATTTTGGTGGCTTTCCCATCACTAGCTCATATTATCAATTAATACTAAATATTGACCAACCTTCAAAGCTGTTACCTATTAGGGCAGTAGTACACAGCAATTTTATACCTTATAAGATTCTATGAAAATTAAAAACACAGTTAAAATGAAAAAAATTAAATTTACACAAAATTCAGATACGACAAAGGCCGGAAAATGTTCTGATCATATCTATCTCATGCATTTTTTTTTATTTTTAGACATGATAAACTAAGGATGCAAGCTGAGTCTTACCTTTCAATTTCCAGGCTTTTGTCAGGGCAGCAGTGTGTCACATCTGATATTATTTAAATACAGTGTGTTTTTCTTTTTAATATAACCAAACATTAGGAAACACTGTAATTAAAGTGTTCCTCTTGCTAGTGTGACTTAAATTCCTTCAATTAAAAGGCGGCATTGTCATCTGAAATCATTTTAAAGTGTTTTTGGTCAACTAAGGAGTCTTTTAATGAACATACTTATATTTACAAGGTATTTTCTTTTTGAAATCAGCTGAAAAAATAATCTGCTTTAGAGAATATTAAGGTTCATTTCCTGATGGATTTGTCCCTGTTGGCTCACATGTGATCAATGAAATGACTAATGGATTGTACTTCCTGGGAATCCATCCTGGACAGAACTGATTTTACTTGGCTTGTTCTTCGTCATCTTCCCATTTCATTTTGTGCCCCTTATCTATTTGTGAATGTAGTCACCTATCCTGCTTAGGCCTGCGCTCATGAGGGTGCTGATATGGCCATAGTCTAGGGCTTCCTGCCTTTCATCAGAGCAGATCCTCTGGTGACATAAATCGTGATTTAGACCACCTGAGGATCTAGACCATAATATTTAATATAGTGGCATCTCATCGTAGCATAGGATATCATGTTGCCAGGGCCCAGACTTCTCTAATTCCTCTGCCCCTCATTAGTAACAAACTATAGTTCAATTTCTAGCACACTGTGCCTAGCAGTACAGAACTTTCTGAAGGCAGGCAACCAACAGTGTTAATGCAGGATTGGGGGAGGAAGAGGACAAGCAAAAGCACAGTTATTTCTACCACGGAAAGTCTAGCACTGCTGTGCCATGCTGAGTATTATTTTCAATGCAAGTGTGATTTTTTTTTTTTATCACCGGGAGATAAAGTAACCAATCAACAGTTACTACCTGCCCCACTCTGTGCATGCCTTATTCCCTCTTATAAACATTATCCCTTTGTTAAATCGTCTCACCTAGGAGGATGAGGCATGTCTTGGGGGAGAGAGGATACGCACCATCGAAGAAGGATCTCTAGCTTGCGTGCTGAGTGCTTCCATTTTATTTTCAAATTACCCCATAAAAGTTGCTCCTGAACCAGGGTCTTCTATATAAAGAAGTACTAACAAAACATAAAAACCAACTCTTCTTTCTTTCTTTCTTTCTTTCTTTCTTTCTTTCAGTATCATTTGAAATGGGTTGACCCATCTCTGGTGAGAATATATTATTTATTCTGTCCCATATAGTAGAACAGCTAAACAAAAAGAACTAATAACTCTTGGAATATGTAAACAATCTCCTCTCTCCTAAAAATAATAACTTAAATGTTCCCATGCATCTCTAGCATATAGATCTGTATATGAATCTCTCACTGAAGATTTTCTAATATTTTCCTCTGAATTCCTTAACTTGTCAAAAGAAACTTCACTATAACAACTTGATGTTGATTTCTCTTAGTGAATTCAGAAGCCAGTGTGGTGTTGTGTAATGTTAGGAATATTCTGTAGCTAATGAACTGAAACAACAGTCTCAGCCCTCAGTGAGGACGTGAAGTTCCACTTGTTCCATAGGAGATTCACCCTGTACTCAGACAGTTAGGCTTCCAACCCGTTTAGCAACTATTTTATCTCTGGTAGGTCATATTACCTAGAAGGGTCAAAACAAACCCACAACATTCTCCTTTGTTTATTTCAAATTTCAGACAACTCTTGTATCTGTGCTACTGCCTTGTATTCCAACATATTTCTTTCTTCAGAAGATGAGTGTAGATATTACAAAACACAAGGACTAAAATCCTGGCCCCTATTGAAGTCAGTGGGAGTTTTGACATTGACTTAAATAGGGCCAGGATTTCATTCTAGATGCTCTTGAGGATACAAAACATAGGCATGTTCCTTTGCGACAAATTTAAATTCAAGTTGTTTTGTTGCCCATCTCTAGGGGTTTAGGAAGTTTCCCAAAGGACTAAAGATCAGGCAGATTTTTCTGTAATTTATATTAGTGCAGGATAGCTAACTGGAATTCAAGGTTGGAAACCTACATCGACATGTTTGCTCTGCAGTTCAGCATCTTACGACCTCTTTCTGTTAAGCTTACTAAACACAAGTCAGTGGTTTATGCAATAATCCCCTGGATATCCTACTGCGGTATATATCCACAGGACTCCAACTATTTATTACCTGACCAATCTGTGTATCAGCTGTACTTTGACAGCTTCACAGGTAATTTAGTATTAGGTCAAGTGAAACTCTTGTAGTCAAATTTATTTAACTCCAAAGAAAAAATACTCTCAGAAGGTTTCATAATGTACCATCTAAGTAGGCAAAAATCAACGAAGATAATACTTGAATATTAACCAAAAAACCCACAGCTTGTTCCTTTGCTTTCCAATCCTGAAAACCATTATCTCCATATCCACCACTAATACACACACATTCCAGAGTACAGTTGAAACAGATGGTAGCTAGCTGCCAATCCAACTGCAGTTCAAAACAATGGTGAAGTATCCCAGCTGTTTTCCAGATTGAAAATATTATTGTCATTTTGCTATCACTCCATGATGAAGTTTATGTAACAAAAACGCACGTGTCCCCCAGTCTGGAATGCAATTAATTTCCTCCTGCCCCACTGAGAGTTGTAAGTTGTAAGTAACCATTCAGACTGTCTGAGAATTTCAGTATTAAGCACTACCAGAAATAGAAAACTGGGGCTATTCCAAGTGGTAACCTATTCTTTGTAACATGCAAATTTTCTGGAGTTTTTAGAGGTGCTGTGTAACTTGCAGTTTGGAAAAAAATAAACACTACTTTTCTGTTTATCCATAATGTCTAATTGGCTGAAGCATGCTATGAAAGTTTCACTGCATTTCTTTTTATTGTAAGCACTGACTTTGCTTTATGCTGGAATTTTACATACAAATATGCTAACTATAGTAAATCACTATTTGCAGTCTGAAACCAATCACTTAACTGGTCATGTAATTATAAACCTTTGGTATGCAAATATAAGGCTTTGTACTTTACGAAGTTTAAAACAAAGTTTAGTGCATCTAATTTATAACTTCCAAATGTCATAGATTGCTTTGGGTGAAATTAAGTAATATTGCATGATCTCAAACCATTTAATATAATTTCATTACATAGAGAGTAAAAGCAACTGTGTCTCTTTTAAAACAACAGACTAAATAAATAGAACAAGTTCTCCCAATGCAATCTTTCTAGCGACCTTCGTTAGCAAGATCTCAACAATCTTTGAAAGTGCAGCAATTCTAGGAATATTTATACTTAGACTGTAAGATCTTCAGGGTGGGGACTGCCTTTTTCTTTAGGGTTGCCAACTTTCTAATCGCAACACCCTTGCTCCACCCCATGCCTCCCTTCCCCAAGGTGCTGCCTGTGTCCCATCCCTTCTCTGAGGCCTCACTCACTCCATCCCCCCTCCCTCCGTCGCTTGCTCTCCCCCACCCTCACTCACTTTCACCAGGCTGGGACAGGGGTGCAGGAGGAGGTGCAGGCTCCAGGATGGGGCCAGAAATGAGGGATTCAGGGTGCGGGAGAGGATTCCGGGCTGGGGCAGGGGGTTGGGGTGTAGGAGGGGGTGAGGGCTCTGGCTGGAGGTGTGGGCCAGAAATGAGGGATTCAGGGTGCGGGAGGGGGCTCCGGGCTGGGGCTCCCACTGAGGGTGAGACTGAGGATGAGGGGTTTGGGGTGCAGGAGGGGGCTCAGGACTGGGGCAAGAAGTTGGAATGTGGGAGGGGGTGTGGGGTGTGGGCTCAGGGAGGGAGTCTGGGTGCGGGAGAGGGAACAAGGCTGGGGTGCGGGAGGGGATGTGGGGTGCAGGCTCTGGGAGGGAGTTTGGGTGCGGGAGGGGGCTCAGGGCTGGGGCAGAGGGTTGGGGTGCAGGCTCTGGGAGGGAGTTAGTGTGCGGGAGGGGGTTCTGACCTGGGGTAGGGGGTTGGGGTGCGGGACAGGGTTCGGGGTGCCGGCTCTGGCTGGGCAGTCCTTACCTCAGGTGGCTCCCGGTCGGTGGCGCAGCTGGGCTAACGCAGGCTTCCTGCCTGCCCTGGCTCTGCACAGCTCCCAGAAGCGGCCAGCATGACCGGCTCCTAGGCACAGGGGCTCTGCACACCGCCCGCCCCCACAGGTGCCGCCCCTGCAGCTCCCATTGGCTGTGGTTCCCAGCCAATGGGAGCTGCGGAGCCAGTGCTCACAGTGGGGACAGCGTGCGGATCCTCCCTGGCTATTGCGCGTAGGAGTCGGATATGCTGGCAGCTTCCTGGAGCCGCAGGGAGCCTGCCTTACCCCTGGCTAAGATATTGTCTACAGATTACTTTTCTTAGAGAGCTTTATATAGATTTTAGGGTTCTTACCTAGTTAAATACTCCAGTGCCAACTCAGCTCCTGATGGTTTTTTGGGCTCTTCTTTCTTAGCAGCAATTCCAGCTTCCCGCATCAGTTTTTTTTCTTCCTTCTTACGCTCTTTCTTTAGTTTTCTTTCCAATGTCCTCCTTTCCTCTCCGGTAAGTTCCTCCGCCTCCTCCTCCACCTTTTTTGTTCTCTGAAATAAAATACAAGAATAACTTTAATTGAAGAGCTCATGAAATATTTCATACTAGAAACCTCAGGTTGCTAATTTTACTGTATGCTCTATCAATCTCCTGTACTGTCAAACGCTACTGTCAGGGCCAGCTCCTGGCACCAGCGTAGGAAGCAGGTGCCTGGGGCGGCCAACAGAAAGGAGCGGCACGTCCTGGTCTTCGGCAGCACTTTGGCGGCTGACCAAGCGCTCCGCGTTAGTCTTCGGCGGCAATTTGGCGGCGGGTCCTTCACTCCGCCTCTTCTTCTTTGGCGGCACTTCAGCGGGAGCTCAATCGTTTGGGGTTGGGTTTTTTTTGTTTTTTTGCTGCTTGGGGCGGCAAAAAAGCTGGAGCCAGCCCTGGTTACTGTAAATAATTATACTTTCAGCACCAATCTCCAAACTGAGCAAGTCTTCAGAAGTTTTGTTCTATGTAGGTTTTTATACCGGACTCATTACCATAGTATCTGAGTACTTTAAGTGGCATGATTAACATCTGTCAACTGCTGTTTGTTCTCTCATTCTCTCCCCAAGGTGAGGAGTGTGTGCAGTGAAGTGTTTTGTTTTGGTAGGCTTTTTTAAAATATATATACACATGTTGCTATGCGTTTGTATTAGAGAAGGCAGGGTTGAAGAAATGTGCCTTGCACTGGAGGCGAACGGTGGAGAGGTTTGTGATGATACGGTGGAGAGGTTTGTGATGATCCTTAGCTTCTGTGTTTGGTCTTCATCCTGAAGCTTTAGGTAATCTGGATATCCTGGGCCCAGGGCCACTGACTGCCAAAGACCTTGCACCTTGTGAGTGAAGACCAAGAATTTGAACCTTGTTTGTTTTGTCTTTTTTTCCCATCAGTGTAAAGATTGAGTGGAAAGAGAGAGAGTGTTATATTTCATATACTTTATGTATGACAAATAAATATGTTAGCATGTGATATACTTATGTATTTTGTTATTTGCAATAATTCCATTTTCAGTATGAATAACTGTTCCATCTGCAAATCTAAAGAAACTTCAATTTCCTCTCCCACCCCCAAGATTGGAGTTTCTTAAGGTTTGCAGATGGAACAGCTATTCATACTGAAAATGGAATTATTAGAAGTAACAAAATACTCGCATAAGCATACCACATGCTAACCTATCTATTTGGCAACCATGAAGTGCATGAAATAGAATACATTGTATTAGGCAGGGAGAATCTAGTCTAAATGCACTAAGAGTACACATAGTAAAAATATGTTACGTGGCAAAAGATCAGGTTTGTATAAAAGATTCCAAGAATATTACAAAATTTTTGTCCATGACAAACTTAGAGGCAATAATTCATAGAATCGTAGGACTGGAAGGGACCTGAAGAGGTCATCTAGAGGAAATCGTCAGGTTGAAAAAATCATGTGGGGAAAGGTTTGCATGTGATGAGGTATGGAAGAGGGAAAGTGTGCATATGAGATACTTTAGGGGTCACCAAAATCCTAACACACAGAGGGATCCAAATAACTGAGTGAAGAGGGGAAAAGGAGAAGCTCATTGTTGACATCTGGGGAAGTCTGCACAGAAGTTGAGTGTTTCCTGATGTCTCCTTGTCAGTTCTCCATTCTAGTGGTTCTTAAGCTAGGATACACAAAGGCTTCTCTTATAGCCTCCAAAATCCCCAGGCAAGGAAAACCACAACAAAGACAGGGTCTTAGGATGGGGTGTAGTCTACGTGAAGTTCTCTAGTCACATAAATGATTTGCTGCATGAAACAGAGAACCATTACTCTGTCCTTTACGTTTCAGTTGTGGGAAGAAAGGGCAGAGCCAGCATTCTTGACCAAACTCACTTTCAGAAATGTCATGTCACTGGGAATTTACAAAATGCGCACAAAAGAAACTCTCAAACATTTTGGATGTCTCTCAGAACTCTCTGGCCCATATCTGAGTATCATTGCATGTTCATTCAAAGTCTAGTGTGTCCAAGTACAGTAGTCTACATCTTAATGCTTAATAGACAAGACAGCTTTCCAATATTTTTGCTACAGTAGTTTATTCCCAATCATCAATAACAAAGCACATTTCTAAATTATGGCCCTGTGACAGGCTGGGGTAGGCCTGTACCCAGTTATGTCACACATTTTGTTTTCTGGCTTCCATTTTGTATCTGAGCATACTTGATGTCTTATGTCATGAGCCAGTTTAAACAATATATGTGTACCCTGGTTGTGATGTTTAACAAGGTCCTATGGAGGAGGGGATGCTTCTAAATCTTGTGGAGAACACAGGAAGAATCATCAACAAGGACTACTAGCCAGGACTTCGGATTTGCTAATGACTTTTATCCACTAGCCCACTACCTATCAAAGAGCAGTTGTGCACTTGAACCCAGGATGACTGGGGTATGGGGTTTCACATGGGGACTTCATGGCTGTGTTTATAAGCAAGGAGGTTTCTGGATAGAAGAGACTGACCATCACCAACAGCAAGAGGGATTTGATACAGGGGAGACAAGGGAGTTTCTGCCTAGCCTGAACATGGACAGTCCTCAAACAGAGAGATGAGATCTGTCTAACAGGTGGGGATTGCATTCAGCTGTTGGTCGTTTTGCCTAGATCCATGGGTGGCGGGTGAAGCATCCCCGCAGGGAGGTTAGCTCCTTGTCCCATCTCTTCTGCCCCAGGCTCTGCCCCCACTTCACCCCAGGCCTGCCTCCTCCCCGCTCGACACGGATGTCCCTCCTTTCCTTCCCTTCTCCTCCCCCGCCGCTTGGCCCCCCTGCCACCACTTGCCATTCCCTCTTCCCGCCCTGCTCGACCCCCTCCCCACTGCCACCCACCTCTCCTTCCCCACTCCTCCCTGCTCAGCCCCCCTGCCGCCACTTGCATCCCACCTCTTCTTCCTCCCTCCCTGCTAGACCCCCACCTCGCCACATCCCTCCTCCCACCTCCCATGGCAAGCAGCAGATGGGGGGTCCGAGTGGGGAGGAGGGACCAGCAAGCAGCAGCAGCGGGGGGTAGGAGGAGGAGGAACCAGCGAGTGGCAGCAGGGATCTCCAGAGAGAGGGGTGGAGAGGAGCAGCCAGGTGGAGAATGATGAGCTTTTATATGCGCCATGCAGGTTCCCGGGCAGCTGAGGAGGTGGTATCTGCTATCAGCTTTCTGGGTCCATCAGTAATCTCCCTGGGGCATCCAAGGGACCCAGGAAGCTGAGTGGCAGCTACCACCTCCTCAGCTGCCCGGGAACCTGCATGGCACATAATAAATAAGCAAAAACATCCTGTAGAAGTCCACTCCCAGCAGGGAGGGAAAGAGAGGAGGCCACCATGGCCCAGGCGTCCGGTGGCAGGGGCGGCGGTGCCTGTGCCAGGGGAGGCTTAGCCTCTCCTGGCCTATTATATCCGCCACCCCTGCCTGGATCTGTAACTTTCCTGAGTTGTCAAAAGTAAAGTGTGTGTATTTAAGAAGTTCATTTGCAAAGCAGGTGTTCCTTATTGGAAAGGTGTCCCCAAAGACTTAGACTATGAACCAGAGTCCCCACAGGGGCAGAACCCTGGGATGAGTGTACATAAGCAGCTGAGGAAGTCGGCGGGGGTGGGGAGGGGGAGATGGGGGCTCAGTATTGGCTCAAGGGCTTCGGGCAGTTGGACTGCAGAGTCCCATATCCCAAGAAGGGGGTCAGACAGTGAGTCTGCATCCTGGGAATGTTCCTGATAGGCTAGAACTATAGACCGTGTCTGGACTCTACCCAGGCCCAGCTGACTCGAAAGCATTTGGGATTCAACGGTTAAGTCTGATTATAAACAGCCTGGTGACCACCCGGTAGGGTACTCAGCCAAGTCTGTAACAGGCTCCGTAATACCCCCTTTAGCTTTGAGAAGGCATTTATAACAAGAGATCAAATTTGTTAAAAATGAACCCCCCATGAGGAGAATTTCAATTGCGTACCTACAGTCTCAAAGTACCTACAGTACCATACTTGCAAAGCAGGGAAAAAATAATTCCAAGGGACATAGTTATATCTATATATCATAGCATACGGAGTCAAACTGAACACATCCACCAACAATACAACTAACTATTCTCTGTGCCTCCTTTTCACCTATTATGAGTATCAGGCACCCAAGACTGAAACTGGAATTGCACAAAAAGATAACCAATTACAATAAAAGACTGGTTAAATTACACTTCCCTAATAAGGGCCAAACCCTTAATGTGTCAATCAATGAATGTTTGTGAAGTGCTTTACAATGAAAATCACAAGGTAAAGGCTAAGTATTATTATTATTTTTACATGCAGAGAGAAGGAGATGTTAGATAAAACAATACCTGTACGCTAACCTGATTTGCCAAAGACACCTGCTGAAAACTAAAAACATTTTTCTGTCTGGATTCACATATCATCCAAGTTTACTCTGACTCATCTCCCCAACCCGGTGCTTTCAAAGACTAAACTGATCTGAACAAGACAGAGACAGAAAACAGATATTTGAATAAATGAGGGAAAGTCTAAGAAAGGAGATTTGCTTTGTGTTCTCTCAAATATTTTCTTGAGCAGAGGTTGCAGCCAGCATGCACAGGCACAAACACTTAGAAAAATCAAGCAACTTGAGCATGCACTGCATTTGTATTGAAGAGGTTTTGTAACTCATACTAAAAAGAATTAGTATCTAGGATGAAGGTAATTATTTTACAGGAAGAGAAGTTTTCACTTGATAAGCTGCTGTAGTATTTACTGAAATAACAATCTAGCCATGCAAAATCTAGGAAAAACAGTGTGGAGTCATTCCTAAATGTTTGTGAAAGATTACTATAGCAGCCGTCCAATAGAGGACACACTACGTTTAATCTTCGTTTAAAAATAATGTAATGAATGTGTTTTCTTTTCTCCTTGAGCCATGAAGTTTTCAAATAAAGTGACTGTGGCACGTCATTAGAATAGTTCTGAGAAAGAGGCCTCTTGCGTCCGCATACTTACAGTAAATGCGTATCTATCTTCCCTTCCCCCACACATTCCATACATTATCAAAAAGCTTTTTATCCCTCTCCCTAGTGCTCCCGTAATACAACACAAGTTGCTGCATCCATGTAACTAGGTCTAAATACAAAATCCCAGTCGCTGACATTTGTTTCAAGCATAACAATTTTTGCTCTTCAGTGCCATCTGAAACAAAAGCACTGTTCTCCCTTTAGACTTGAATTTATCTTGTGTTAAGAGAGTCAGAGTTTATACATCAAGGTACCTTCTGGCAGAACAACCTATAATCCATTCTGATTAAAACATGATCCACCCAGGCTTCTGTTCAAAGTTCCCAACACATTCACTATAAACATGCTAGGAATTTTATAATTCACAGAATCTTTCTACTTACACTGAGCTTTAACCCTTTCATACTAGCTTCATCGGTTTTTATAAATATATTTATTGTGGAAGCCAGGAGTTTCAGTCTTGCTAATGAACATTTGTATGCAATCTAGCTGCATACTGTACATTAGATTTAAGTATCTAAGAATGAGTGCAAACCACAAAGTCATAGACCAACATTTTCAAATGAATTTCAAGGGGCATCCCTCCCCTCAGCCCCATCAATACCCCTACTGCCTGTCCCCAACACTCCCACCGCTAAGTCCACTGCCCCCCTCCAGCCCCACCAATACCCCCACAGCCATCTCCTTCCCCACAACTAATGCCCCCATTCAATCTCCCTGCTGAGTATAAAGCATTCAAGACTGAAACCAGAATTGCATGCATAGATAACCTATTATAATAAAAGGCTGGCTAAACCACACTTCCTTGATGCCAAAGCCTTAATATGCCATTCAATGAATGTTTGTGAAATGCTTTAAAATGAAAATCACAGTGTCAATGCTAAGTATCATTATTTACATACAAAGGGAAGGGTATGTTAGATATAATACCTGTATGCAACCTGATTTGCCAAAGACACCTGCTGAAAGCTAGACATTTGTTCTGTCTGGCTTCACATATCATCCAAATTTACTCTGACTCATCTCCCTAATCTGGTGCTTTCAAAGACTAAACTGATCTCAACAAGACAGAGTGGCCGGAGCTGTTCATCTCTCCCTGAACACCCTCAACCACCCCTTCCTTGCTGCAGCCAAGACCTGGGGAAGAATGAGTCATGACCCCCTCCCTGAAATAATCACCTGCCCCCAACCTTGGACCTGCCTCTGCCTCATGCTGTCCAGGCTCTGTGACACAACCAAGGCCCCACATTTCAATTCTCCCTCCTCCCTCATTATCATAAGCAGAAGCAGAGCATAGGTCACCTACAATACAAGAATCTTGTGCATCACCCACACATGCACATCAGTCTCTCTCACTGACTTGGGGGGGGGGGTGTAGTGGAGGGGGGCAGAGAGCTGATGCACATGTGTGGCTGACACATATGATTCTGGGAAATGTAGTTTTTATATGGGAGAAAATATTATTAAATCGGGAGTCAGGAGTTTTTTGGTTGCAAACGGGAGTCTCCCTGACATACTGGGAGACTTGGGCTATGTCTTCACTACCATTTCTGTCGGCAAAACTTATGTTGCTCAGTGGTGTGAATACTCCACCCCCTTGAACGACATAAGTTACACAAGCATAAGCAGTAGTGTGCACAGTGCTATGTCTCCTGCTGCTCGATGGGGGTGGTTTAATTATGTCTCCTGTCGGCATAGAGTGGCTACATGAGCGATCTTACAGTGGCACAGCTGCATGGATACAGCTGCATGGATTCTGCACGAAGCTTGGATTTGAATCCAGGTTCCTGAAAGTTTGAGGAGTGGTTCAGATGCAGAGTTTTGATGTGGTCTCATCTTTATTTAAAGAACAACAACAAAAATAAATCATGATTTCACTTGTTTTATTTAGATTATAAATGTTTCAAGTTGTCTTTTTCCATCTTTGTAAGGTGACATGGTAATTCGTGGTGCTTTTTTTTGAAAAATATAATAATAATAATGATGTAAATCCACATACGAGCAAGTGATACATTTGTTGAGGTGATAAATTTAAAACGTGTGCAATACATTTGCTTATTTGCAAAGCCTGCTGCCAGCTATTATACCACCTTGGTCTGTGAACTCATTAGGTCTCAGTCTAAACAAAGTCAGGCTAGGTTAGCGCTTGAATGAAAGACATCCGGAGAAAACCTGGTGAGTTTTGTGATAAAGGAGGTGACACTCTTCAACTTGGAGTTTTTCCTGAACCAATGCCCTGACAAGGTGTTAAGGGGCATTTTGCCACCAGGTGTGCCATCTTTTAAATAAGACAGACAAAAAATTCCTAACCACTTGTGCTCACTGAAGAGCCAGGTCACTTTCTGCAAAAGTAAGGAGGGATGCTAGCTCTGATGTCTTCACCAAATTCCTATTTGGGTAACTAGTTTCTGTCTATTGTAACTTAGAACGCCCCTTGCATTTGCAATTACATGCAGTTGTCTCTATTTCTTCATTTCTTCTCTTAAATTGTTTAATGGTGTTGCACTTGTTTCACTCCAGAGGGGGCTACATTTCAATGGTGGGCAAAGTGATTCCTATATATCACTATAAAATAACTTTTTATATTGTTATATATATACAATATTTCCAGACAACGATACTTTAGTAATAAAAAGATTTCAAAAATTATGCATTGGGATACTACTATCCATATAAAAATCAGCACAGAGTTTGGCTAATATCATGTACTCTCACCTAATTCAGTCACACCCTTTCAAAAACTGCTTCAATCTATAAAACATGACAGCAATACTAAACTTTGCTGATGAAAATGAAAACATTGTGTATATATAAGGAAACCATAAAATGGTAAGGGACTAGCTAGCTCTGCACGCTGATAATACAAGATGGAACAATATATCTCTAAGGGCTGGTCTATACTTAGCCGCTAGTTCGGCGGCTGGAAATCGAACTTCCTGGTTCGATTTATCACGTCTGGTCTGGACGCGATAAATCGAACCAGGAAGTGCTCGCCGTTGACTGCGGTACTCCAGCTCAACGAGAGGAGTACCGCGGAGTCGACGGGGGAGCCTGCCTGCCGTGTGTGGACCGCGTCTGAACCGCGGTAAATTCGAAGTAAGGTATGTCGACTTCAGCTACGTTATTCACGTAGCTGAAGTTGCGTACCTTACTTCGACTTGGGGGGTTAGTGTAGACCAGGCCTTAGTCATTGATTATAATTTGAAACAGGTCTGTAACAACTAAAAAGCCCTACACGCCGACAGCTATTGAATAGGCTTTGATAAGAGAATTAGTGGTTTCAGTTTAGTTCTTAGCTGACAGATACTTACATCATAATTGGCAACCTTATTGGCTGACTAAGAAGACAGGCTAAGGATTGAATGGGCAAAGAGACAGTAAAATACCATCACCCTCACAGAGATGGTCCTTCTAGGACACCATTGAGGAACATTGGTTGGGCAGTGTGGGGAAACTCACACAATACACCATTCATGCCACAGTACCCAGTGAAACAGCAGCTAGGAACTCAGCAAATCACACAAGGCCATCTACAAGGGTTGGCATTAAACCACTTCCTCTCACCAAAAATAACAGAGAGAGAAAAACATTAAAATCGTACATGAATGTTTCCTATTTGGTATAACTTTCCGTCCTACGATCAAGCCAGTCAGACTTGGGCTGTAGTGGTCTGTCAGGAAGAATCAGTTTCAAAAGTCCTCAGCTGAGGAAGCCCTGCTGCTTATGAGAGTGTATAAAACAAGGAACCAAAAACAATAGCCTCCTAGTAGATCTCAGCTAACACCCCACCACACAATCTATCCAACACAGCTGGCAGATCTTTTAGGGCTTCAACGATTATCATCAACACCTTAAACTGCACTCAAAAATGAAAAGGAAGCCAATGGGAAGACTTGAAGAGCTATGTGCTCATAGTGGCTATTTAGGGGTTGAATAAAAAGCTGTGTCAACAGGAACAATTGCAGATTTACATCTGTGAAACAGGAGAAAGTCAGAAGTGGTTGTCTGTTCATATGCCCATCACTCCAGAGCCCCGTTACACTTCCATCAAAAATTAACGGATGGAAGACCTGTCCAGTAAGATGAATATAATACAGCAGTGTTTCCCAAACTTGGGACGCCGCTTGTGTAGGGAAAGCCTTTGGCGGGCCGGGCTGGTTTGTTTACCTGCCACGTCCGCAGGTCCGGCCGATCGTGGCTCCCAATGGCCGCGGTTCGCTGCTCCATGCCAATGGGAGCTGCTAGAAGCGGTGCGGGCCGAGGGATGTACTGGCCGCCGCTTCCAGCAACTCCCATTGGCCTGGAGCAGCGAACCGCGGCCAGTGGGAGCCGCGATCGGCCGAACCTGCGGATGCGGCAGATAAACAAACCGGCCTGGCCCGCCAGGGGTTTTCCCTACACAAGCGGCGTTCCAAGTTTGGGAAACACTGTAATACAGTAAACTCAATGCAATTATAATAAGGGTACATCTATGATTAATTCTGTCATGTCTCCCCATAACAAGAAATATATATTTGAAGAATAACCAGTAGAAAGATGTATGGTAGATTACAGTTTTGTTCTTCATATTTCCATAGTATAAAGGAGAGGGTACATTTTACGATTAGCTGAACGTATGGTTTTAGGTACAAGAGACTGTACTGGACTACACTGCAAACTGAAAGTGGTTTTGCTTTTAACTAGATTTTTTCTCATTACCTACTTTCCAGAATGACCATTAATCTAAAACTCAGGCCACCTGATACTTAGATAATACTCAGGACATTATTGTAAAGGCCCATGATCCTTGCTCACCTGCTTCAGGATTCCCATCTTTGCACTGTCACTGTTGTGTGATGGCAACAAAATGGAGTTTATAAAACTTGTGATCTCTGAAGATGAGACTATGGCAGGGGAACCTAATTTTTATTCATACAGGCTTCCCAGTTATTACAAATTAGGCTCTGGGTCACAACTGTCTTGAGGCTGTGTTCTTTGTTACTTGTTCTGCTTGCCACATTCGATGCGATGTCCTTGTCAACCCCTGGCAACAACAAGCACAAACAGAGCCAAGTGGCTGCACATTTAGCTGCTCCATCGTGGCCAAGAACATACAGATTTCTACTGTTGCAGAGTACTGTGTCAGGGCCCCATTAGGAATGTAGGAGAACTACTTGTGGCTCACTGACTGCAGTTCAGTCACCCTTACAGAATTGGAAGTGATTACAAAGAATGGGGAGGAACAGAGGATGAGAAACAATACAAAGAAGACTCACCAGGCACACAATGCTAAAGACAAGAAAGAGCATCACAAAATGGCATGAAAAAGGGAGGAAGCCAAATTCACCATTGATGCAGGTGGATCCAGCTCCACAAAAGTCAACGGAGTTGCACCCTTTTCTGCTAGCACACAGGAAGGACAACAGGGGAATGGAAGACCATGGGCAAGGATGAAGAGATATGACAGAGTTAAAGGAAGCACCAACACAAGTTCAGATGAACAAATCTTAACATAATCAACAGCGACAAATATACTGAGGACACAACATTTTTCCCCAAACAGGAAGACGAGAAGGGACTCCCACTTTGCTCCTAGCAGAAGCATTGTATTGCCTTGGTCTTCGGTTTTAATCAGTGTCATCAGAGTTATTCCCACAATTTTTAAACAGTGATGCCAAAAAGGGCTTGTTCACACTAGTGACCAAAAATATGATTAATTTCATTTTAAAATGAAGTCTTTTGCCACCCAATTTTAAAGTCAGAGTAGCTAAAACATTCACTGTCTTCCTTCAGACTCAAAACACCAAACACTGATAGATTCGTGGCCATTTTCCAGCTAAAAAATTCCAACACCTATAAATATAATTTAAAAGATGCAAAGAACCAGACCAAAGTTATACAACTCTCAAAAGCAAGGTTAATAATGAAAAGGTTGATAGATGATTTATTAATTGAAGCTTTGCCAAACAATTACACTGTCATCATAACTACAGAAACTACGTAAAAAACCTCACAATCTTACCAACTTCTCTAAACCATTTTGTATAGTTCACCACCTTATGAACAGAGAAAGTATGAGCATAAAAAGCATTTTAAGTTTCATGAAGATACAGAGAGCAGACTTGAAATCAAAGTAACTACCCCCCCCCCCCCCCCCGCAATATACGCCTTTTAATAGATGGACATTTACTTTATAAAGAAAATTGATTTTTATTGGATTTTTAGGCCTATAATAATATTCTTAGAATCCAATAAATATATTTTAAAAATGTACAAACAGTATCTGGACAAAAGAAAAAATATTTTTAAAGTGACACATTGTTCAAAGAAATAAACTGCTGTTTCTTTAAAAATAATTTTCATAAAAGCTAAATCGTCCTTACAATCTTACAACTATTGGCAACAGAAACATTGGGATGAAATTACATTAACTTGATTTGGAAAGGTTTCTATAGATGCAATTCAGGCAGAAAAGCCTCAAATAAGTTCTGCATAAAGCCAGATTTAAATGAGAACAAGCTTTTGTAGCTTTCTGATCCAGGAAAGGATTCCTTCAGCTATTGTATACGTGAAGGGGGGGAAAGTGCATGCGTACACACAGAGACAATCAGAATCTACTGGATCTCTCAAACACAAGAGGCAGGTATCATTTGCAATTAAAACTGAATTCAGCAGACATGCAATTTCACTGGCAGCAAAACGTAGCCAATTAAAAGCTTTAACTATTTCGTATATCTACATACATGCTTCTGAAGAGTACACAAAATGTTATCAATAAGAAATGCTGAATAAGAAAAAAAATTAGTAAATTTAAATTAAACAGAAGAGTTTAAGTGCACATGGGAGAAAAATATTTGCAAAAACTATTACGTCAATTAAATTCCACTAGAATGTATGCTCCTTTAAAGTGATGTACTGAAACTGATCAAGTTCTGAAACATGAATTAGTATTTTATTTCTCAATTTCTATCAGTCATACTTCAGTGTCATTATTCTGAACACAACACAGGCCTAAGGAACAACAACAAGCAGTCTTGCGAATGCAGTTTTGCTTAGCCTGTAACTATGGCACTGACAGGAATCTGTACCTATCTGCAGTACTATTTTACTTACTCCCTTACCATGGTTTGCTTAATTAAACCAGCTCATTCTGATTAAATGGCAATGCAGCAGAAGACAGAACAAGGTCAGAAAAACATTTTTACCCACTTATTTGGTACTTAGATTTGTAAAATTACTCCATCCTCTGCTAGCCCCCCAAAAGAATAAATGAACAGAATGATTTTAAATAAAAGGAATCTGAGATTGTTATGGGAACATTTGAACAAACAACATAGTATTCAGCACTTGCATCACTTAAAGTTATCTCTTTAAGGGTGTGGATAAAATTACCCCCAAACATTGAACAGCTTTAGACTTAGGAAAGGTAGAAACAGAATAAGATGTTTTGAAGTTCTTGCTAGAGAAGAAAATAAGAGCTTGGTCTCCTTCAATGAAAGAAGTACCACAGAGAGTAGGCAGGTTGCCAGGCAAGCTCGGCAGCGTGACCACACTGCATTGAGTTTCTTTAATGAAAGCCAGGAAAGAACACATTACACAGTGTTTCTTCTGAGAGCTAGCTAGCCTCCAGTGATTGAAATCAATAAAAACAGTCGGCATGGGGCCCAGTGGGGGAAGAGAGAAATCTCTACTACAGCGTTCAGTTTGCTTTCCACTTTCTCCGTCTTCCTAAAGTTAAACTTTTGAACACCAAGACAAACTACTTCATTTTCAGCACTCAGAAGATTTTGAGAGGGATGGTGGGAAGATAACGTTTTAATTTTCCTTCTGCTTTCTATGCTCCCTCTGCTCTCTTACGGAGTTCAGAAAATGAAAGGGTTGTTTTTCATTTGAATCCTGCCTGGAAGAACTTCTACGGACAAGTGCATCATCCTATACTTAGAAAAGGGATGAATTTTACAGTGAAAGGATGTTAAGTGGTGAAAGAGAAAAGAAAAAATGGAATCTTATTCAGCAAAAAGTACACTCACTGGATAGAACGTCAACCACTGCTGTGAAAGCTTCTGAAACTGCATTCAAAAGAGTAAGACCAGTGCAATACACAGTCTAAAGCAGCTGAAACTTATAAAAATACATGCTCAACGCAAAAGACAGGATCACAAGGAAAATAGTGGGTAAGTTGGAGCTGTTTTTAATGATTCAGTCTCTCAAGTTTGAAATCAGCAATGCACATTTCCACTGTAGTTTCTATAAAAAGTTTTAAGTGTTTTCTTGTTAACTCAACTCTTTGAAGACTGAATATTTAAAGCTACATACTATTTAAGCAATTTGATTTATACCATTTTAAAATTCTGCTAGGTCACTGATCTTCACAGAGAATTCTCAAATATTCACAGAATATATTTCCTTGGGTTTTTTTGTTTAGTTTTGTTTATTGACAAGGTAGAATCAGGCCATTACGCAACTCCACCCACTCCGTGTTCCATGCTCTCGGAGGTCTGTTTGCTATTTTAATTATGAAACACTACAGAGACCACAAGTTGAAAGTGAACTGAATTTGAGAAACTGCCAGTAATGAAGTTCTAATATGGGAGATATGTATTTGTTTGACTTATTTTACAGAGCCCTTAATCATCATAGCAGCTACACTACATACCTAAACTGAGTTCTGTGTGCTGATTTAAAACATAAATTATAGCAAATTGTATATATGTTGGTTAGTCTCAACTGACATCAAAATGTACATATAAGGTATTCTTTAAAGGCATTGCTAAATAATTTATTATTACACCCAAGGTGGCTTTTTTTGGGTTGGTATATTGTTTGAAAAATGTTACATAAGTATACTCAGCACTTAAACATTCAGTCATAATAACTGACATAGCATTTCACAGGGAGATACTAGCAGAGAGTGGTGCAGATAGATTACTAATGCAGCAAACCCTTCTGCAAGATTTCAGTAATTTTAAATAAAATTTTCATTTAGATTATAATGAGACTATGATAAGGGATTGAGCCTGACCACAGCAAGGATGAACAAAAATGCTGAGTGTGCATCTTCTTTCATAGTGTTCCAGCTAGTGCTGGAGAGCCACTGTACCTTAATGTGGGGGGTGCCCTTTGAGCAAGAGCACCATACATGCCTTCTATGCTGGCTAGCACTTGCTGGTGACAGCAACATATATGCTGATTTATTGCAGGTGGGATGGGGGAGAAACTAGGTTCCTCTAAAGTCCCCTGAGGAATGTGTTGTGTGGGCTGGTGCAATAAGTATCCGCACCCATCCAGCACAATCCTGTAAGTTATTATAGAGGGAGCATGCCTGAATGACTGTAGGGGTGGAGGATGGGAAGAAGAGACATTCTGTGCCTTCCCACTTGTGCTCCAGCAGGCTGTATTCATTCCTCGGTGTCTTAAAACACACGTTCAAAGCAGGGAACCTCATTTATGTCAAGGATGAATTTTAAGGAATACTACATGATGTGAAGAAGCTCACTCTAACTGTTGGAAGCAATTGAAAAATGAAAGTTTGTTTTTTTTAAATCCTTTTGGTTAATTTTATTAAGCTAAGAAAACTACACTGGTGACAGTTTTGATGAGCTGTATGACATTCTCAATTATCTTTTATAATCTTCTTAAAAATACAAATGTTTGACTATCCACGTTGAAGGATCATTTCTTAAGACAGCCTTAGCTCAGGTTTAGGTCCCGGTCATTTGTAAAGTCATATTTTTGCATGCAAATAAGGTAATTATATGTGCAGATTAGTAGCTAGGTGTGCAATTATCTGCTTTGCTTGCACAGCTGTGGAATTTTGTTGGTACAACAGGTGC